TTTTTGCATTCTCAATTCCTGGCACATGAAAAGTGCTCAGTAAAAGATTTCCCAGGTGAGTGAGATGAGTGAGTGAGTGAACTCTCATCAAAAAAACTAAGAGGGCTATCTCATTTTTTGTGATTATAAAGAAAAGAGGTCTTAGCTGTCCCAGGGTCCATAGGGCCTTTGCTGCTTAGCTGATGACCCTGAGCAATATTATGAGCTAGAACAACCAGTCTTTGACTGGAACCAAGCTAGTTGTTCTTTTGGTCATTTCTCATAAGATCATAAGATTACAAAATGTTTATAGCTGTAGGGTCGTTTTCTGATAAATAAAGAGCATTCCAGGAGTCTAACTTCCTACTGGATACTTTCCCTGGAATACCCCACAGGCAGCTCATAATAAACATGTCAACATCATCTTCCCCTCTCAGACCCCTCTTCCTTCTCCCCGTGTGCTCCTCCTCAGAACCACCCAGTAGGCTCAAGACAATAATCCAACCATACTCCTTGATTCTGATCTCTCTCTCCCCCTCTCTTTATATACTTTATACAAGTAAATTTAATAGTTAAATTGGGAGTTACCATAAAAGGGTGTGTAATGGTTGGCAGCAAAAAAACACTGTAGTCAGCCCTAGCCAGTGTGGGTCAGCCCGTTGGAGTATCATCCCATGTATCAGAGGGTTTCGGGTTCAATTCCCGGTCAGGGCACATGCCTAGGTTGCAGGTTCAGTCCTCAGTTGGGGCTTGTACTGGAGGCAACCAACTGATGTTCCTCTCTCTCTCTCTCTCTCTCTCCCTCTCCCTCCCTCCATCCTTCCCTCCCTCCCATCCATTCTCTCTGAAATACTACTCAGCCTTAAAAAGTAATCAAGTACTGATACATGCTACATGGATGAACCTCAAAAACATTCTAAGTGAAAGAAACCAGTCACAAAAGGTCATATTGAGAATTATTCCATCTACATGGCATGTCCAGAATAGATAAGTTCATAGAGACAGAAAACAGATTGGTAGTTGCCAGGGGTGGCAGAGAGGGAGATTGGGAGAAATTGCTTAAATAGATAAGGAGTTTTACTTTGAAGTGATGGAAGTGTTTTGGAACTAGCTAGAAGCAGTAGTTATACAACATTATGAAAGTACCAAATGCCACTGAATTATTCTCCATGAAATAGTTAATTTTATGTTAGTAAATTTCATCTCAATAAATTATTTTTTTAAAAAGCAATCCAAAAAATGTATGATATTTTAGATCTTTTGAAAGATTTATTTCATGATGTGCTTACAGATTTGAAAGAGTTAGTGCACCTCTCATGTCTCTGTTAGAGATCAGCTTGCTGACTCACCAGCACAATTCAACTAGGAGAGAGCGTAGCATTTGAAACCAAAAGTAAAACATCTCACACTAATTAGTATGGAACACTCGGCATCCTAAACTCTCCATACTAAGCCTGAATAAGCTTCCAAAACCAAGATGTGAAATAGAAATTGGGAAAATTATCTATACCTAGATAACAAAGGACTGGAGTTTAAGAGCAAATTATTCACATAATTGTCCCAGCTTGTTTTTATTTTAATTTGTTTGTAAAGACTATGTTTCTTAAACACTCAAGTGAGTTTCAACTAGTAGCTATGAGAAAGAATCTCAGTACAAAATAAAGAAAATATTTAAGCCTCTAATTATATGGCGGCAGTAGGGGGCATGTCATCAATTTAGAAACAACACTCTTTTGGAGAAGCAGATGATCTAGCATTTCCCAAATTCTACCTACAATATTCTAAAAACATGAGGCAAATCTCATAAAGTTCTGTGTTGAATAGCTATAAAAAATAATCTTATCACTGAGTTATAAAACCTAATAAAGATTCAATGATGTTACTAAATGTTACATACGTATGAATATAGCTATTTATAAGCATACTGAATAAACAGATATAAATTTACAGAGATTTTCTTGTTCCCTGCCACTGAGTTTTAAATTGAGATTTTATATTGGAACATTTCCAACTGAAATCAAATCAAACATAAAATATCTCTTAGATAATACTTTATGGCGCATCATGAATTCAAAGCTACATCTTCTTAACGGTAGCTTCCAATGTTAGCCCAAGACTTAACCTTCGGTTCAAGTGATGATGCCTTGTGCAAAATCACACAGGGCAGGCAGCGCCAGAACCAACCATGTGAGTAAATGAGAAAGGGGGACAGGTAATTGGCTCACTCTTCCCTTTTCATCAGGAAGACAGGCACATTCATAGCACTCACTTTTTGCAGATTTCTTGGCTTTAGGTGTTGAACTACCACAGCCCATGTCTTCTAGATGGTGTAAAATAGCTTCAACTTCTTATTCCCAGATGGTGTGGAGAGCTGTGAGGAGCCACTCCTTAGCTAAGCCACCTCAGTCGCAAACCCTGATGGGAAAAACACAGGAGGGAAGCAGCACCGTTAACAACAAGGTATCTAAGGACTGCAAGGCAGGATTCATTTTTTTCTTCTCAACTGCCACTCATCATGTGATGTGGAAAGTGATCAGACATAATCTAATCCTGGTTTATTTTCCACAACACAGCGGCAGCAACAGAGCAGCTATAGATTGCTTTTCTGCTACACATAAATTATATTTTCCTCGTGTCTCAGTCAGATCAAGGTCTGCAGAAAATAGAGCATAAAAAACAAAAAGAAAAATGGAAATGTAAGAGTGTACAATTTTCTAATTGAAATACAGGGAATGGGATATGAAGGATCTGACATTATTTAACAGTTTTAGTTTTCAGCTCAAAATAATTAAATCTGGGCTTTGAAAAACACAAATTAGCCCAGCTGGGCGTGGCTCAGCGGTTGAGCATCAACCTAGGATCCAGGAGATCGGGGTTCGATTCCCGGTCAGGGCACATGCCCGGGTTGTGGGCTGCAGCTGATCAATGACTCTCTCATCATTGATGTTTCTACCTCTCTCTCCCTCTCCCTTCCTCTCTTTGAAATCAATAAAGATATATTTAAAAACAAAAAACAAAAAACAAATTGGACACTATGAGTTAAAAGCAGCATATTTAAACAACAATGCCAAAATTCAAATCAAAGTGAGTTCTTTGACAATATTTCTCAGAATCAGTTGGGGCACTTGTTTACAAAAAGGAGGCTCAAGGCCTCCCCATAAACTAAGGCATCAGAATCTGTTGGAGTGCCCTTTTTAATTAAACAAGCTCTCCCGGTGGTTCTGAGACTCCTCCAAGTCTACCCTCCGCTAGCTCACCAGCCTTTCTCTGAAGAGTTAGATGAAACTGCTAAAAGGATCTTCCACAATCACTTCCTGGGAGTTCTGGACAAAATTCCTTTCCTCATTGCTTTTTTGGGTGGTGTTCCTGAAGGGCACCAGAAGTTTTGCCTTTTGGGATATTGATTTTTAAGTGGGATATTAAGAGAAACAAAAGACTCAGAAAGAACCTTTGACTCTCCCCCTTTCCCGCTAAGAGATTCAGATAGGAAAAAACCTGCTTCGGGAAGAGAACCTGGGCATAATCACCTTAGTATTAGACAGGAAGACTCCAAGCAGGTGCCTGTTTACTAGACTACCCGTGTCTCATTGTTTCTGGGCTGCCTAGCAAATGTATGTTTCCCTCTCCCTCTACTACCTGTAAATTGCCTACTCGTTTGAAATTTCAGACCCCCTATCTCCTCTTTCTTCTTTGCCCAAAATGACATATATACCCAATTTTACTTTAGTCTTTGGGATTTCCATGCTTATATGAAGCCCTTGTGCACATGTATTAAAATTTGATTTCCTCCTGTTAATTTGTCTCTGTTGATGTGATTATTAGCCCATCTAGAAAAACCTAGAAGGTGGAAGGAAAATTAATTTCTTTTTTATCTCCCACGTTTCCTTTATTTTTTGATGCTCCAAACCAAACTGATCTTTTCTTAATAGGAACAAAGTCAGAGAACAACTAACTAACTAGGGATGCTAAGGGCATGTCTATTTTTCCATTAGCACTACACTGAAAGCTTCGAAATTTCAACTCAACTGAAGAAAGGCGAAAACTAAAATGAGCAAAATATTGGAAATATATATTTTTAAAATAATAACCTTAATAAACAAATATTATAATCAGAGCTAGACCTAGTTATTTTATGTGTTGAATCAATCAACCCTCTTAAACTCTGGGTTATTTGCAAATTTGATAGGCATTTCTTTCATATCTTTCTTAAATGTGAACAAGGTCAGCTCCAAAGGCAAAACCACCCTTGTGGCATTCCACTCCAAACCATTCTCCACAGCTCCATTACATTCATACCCTCTGAGGATATTTGTGCAGTTAGGTGATAAATTCACCCATCATAACTATCATCTTACTTATCTATGAGACGTCCTTGGAAATTTTGCTAAATATTTTAATGAAATTAAGATATATACTTTGACACCTTAACATTCCAGGCTATCCCGATATCAGAAGAAGAAAAAGAAGAGAAGTTGAAGGGGAAGAGAGGGAAAGAGGAAGGGAAAAAGGGGGGGGGAGGGAGCGTGGAAGGAGGAAAATCAGTTTGGCATGATTTTTAATAACAGAATTATAGATGTTTAAAGGTAGGAGAGACCTTTAAAATTACCTAGAATTGACAGAAAGTGCAAGGAAGTTAAGCAACTTGCATAATTGTCATATACAAAATATGGTTATCAAACTTTGTTGCATATTAGTTATCACCTGGGGAGCTTTAAAAACTCCCAATGATCAGACAGCACCTTATTAAATCAGAATCTCTGGGGGCTTAAAAAAACTGATGTCTGGGTTCCCTTGGGTGGGGCTGAGCATCTGGATATTTTAAAACTCCCCAGATGATTCTAATTGCAGCAAAGTTTGACAATCTCTAATAGAGACAATGTTTTAGCAAACCCATGATGATGCCTAGTGAACATCACATTCTCCTCTAAATGCTTTTTGACTTCATCTGTTTGGAACCAGATTTTTCCAAAGGTCATGTCAGGCTTATAAGGCTGTGGCTTCTGGCATCTACTCTTTTCTCATGTTTGAAATTGGGGCACTATTTACACATCGCCTGCCTTCTCTCCATACTCAGAAATTTCTCTGAGGTTATCTGCAGTGCCTATGAGAACACAACTGCTGTGGTCTTCATCAGCCTTGGAAGTAGTTCATCTGGTCCTGCTGACCTTATGCAAGTGCCTAGATTAGTGCTCTCCAACATGAGTACCACAAGACTTACCAGAGGAGATTATTAAAAATGCAGACTCCTAGGCTTTATTGCCAGTACTGGATTCAAGCGGTCTGGGGGCCTGGGAATCTGCGATTAAGTGCACCTCTCAGGGGACTTTGATGCAGCCACTCCCTGTATCTCAGTTTGAGAAATACTGCTCCCTACATCTTCCTTGGGCTTCACTTCCATCTTCATGTTATCTTTTCTACCCTTTTTATGAATACATAAGAGTTGGGCATTGAATAGGCAACAAACACTGATTCAACATTAGGAAGTGATAAATAAAGCAATATCTCTCTTCAAAGGCATTTGGTTCTCAGCCATGCCTCAGTTAATTCGCTACACAACAAAAGTCCATATAAAAGATTCATCAGAAACTAAAAAGCATCATACATGAGTATACTTCTGCTAGATTGTAAGCTCCCAGGGTATCTTTCTTTCTAAACACTCCTTGAATCTCTGGTACTACACAATGTCTTTAATATAGCAGGTATTTGATAAATGCTGAATGAATGAATGGATACTTCTAAGCCAGAATCCTTTAAAAAAATAACTAAAAATAATTATTAGTCCACCATTTTGTGCACAGATGCTGGCTATTTGATTATAAACCTTTTATTAAACCAGAAAATAGGTGGTACTTATACAACCCTTTTTA